AGTCACTTACAAGACAATGTAAGTGCAGCTAAACTTTGCTAAGAGCTTGTATGCCTTACAAAAGTTTCAAAAAAATCCCACGAACTTAGTTAAGCGTATATGTGCTTGTAACGGGGTTGCAGGAGGGTTGCAACCCGGTTATAGCTCATGTACAACTTGCTTTAGGCCCCGCGGGCCTCTATGGTACAATTTCACGAGCTCTCCTGAACATCAGGCGGATCCCTTCGTGTTCCTCTGGGATGAGAAGTGCAACTTGTCTTTCAAGCAGAACGAGATGTCTCATTGCTTTGAGACGTGCTAGGATGGGGGGCTAGGTTTCACGTGTTGAGGGTGGTAGGGCTCAGGGGAAGGCGAAGAGCAAATGGTGATGTGGTCGGCTGGCTGCAGCTTCGCATCTCACCTCTGAATCTCGGAACCCCAAAACGCAAACCCCAACCCCTGCCAATCTTGCAGTGCACCTAAACATGCAGGAAGCAACTACAGTGTCCGACGTGGCGTAAATAAACTCTGCCCCCCAAACTTAGTTCCAAACCTTTGGGCCGCCAAGGTACAACAGGTCGAAAGCAAGCTCGAAGTGCACCAACGCCCGAAACACCACGAGCTGTGCGGCTTGTAAGGCTTAGGGTCTCAACTCGCAGAGTCTCAGGTGGCGGCACAACCTTTAACGAATGGCTTCTGGCGTCGGCACATGCATCTGGACTGCTGAAGATCTGACCCTGAACCCAAGGCCCTGGGCCCCATGTTTGTGTCTCAATGCAGCCGCCATGTCTACAGTATCACAAGCCACCTCAAAAGCTTGCGGTCTTGCTGAAGTTTAATGCGACTATGATGAGTTATGATTGCACAAAGGAACGCGATCGCCATAAATGCCACCACTAGTATCAAGACAAGCGTCATCATCAGCAGCATCACGAGTATGATTGTTTTGATCTTTCAGCCGGTAAGAATATCAGATTGAGAAGATTGAGAAGACGGCTTATTTCTCGGATCAGGCACGGGCTCGAAACCCCGAGCGAAACTGCAATCCTAGAAACCAGAGCTAGAATCTAGAATCAGCTAGAAAGCTTGTCAGTGCCCTAACGTACTTGCCGAGCAGGTAACCCTTTCGGGGTATACTTTGTATGTAGTCCTACTGGAAAACATGAAGAGGCTAATCATCTCATTGGGCGCCAGGGAACTCAGCAGCTGGGTTAACCCTCAAGCCCTTATAAGCCCTAAAGCCCTATATCTTTGTGAGAATCCACTGTCTTTCGGACTTTGATAGAGGAAGCTGTGTTGACCTTCACATGTCAGGAACCCTGATATGCCGCTCCTTGTATAGAGTATCTAGAGTGCCTGCGAGTCTAGGGTCCTGATGAAAAGAACATTTTGCAGACGTCTCGGGTCCAAGCAGAAAGATGAGCTAGCCCGTTTGCACGGTCGACTCCCGAGCTGGCATCCGTCTCAAAATCTTTGACTGCAAGCCCCACAACAGTCCCCAGAAGTTGTGAAGGCTTGCCTGCCTTGAGCGAGTCGCGAGCATCAAAAAACACTAAAAGCCCCAAGCCCTCTGCATGCTAAGCCCTAGAAACTTGGATACCTGCCGTGTGTGCCTCGGCTTGCGATGCGGAAGCCCGAAAACTCTTCAAATCCTAAATTCTATGCCCCGACAGCCAAGGATATTGGGAAGGTACACCAGACCCACATCTCCGACTATGGTTGGCCGCAGCGTGACGTGTAGTAGGGCTGGTACTAAGGGTTTTGTGAATGCATCCAGGCCTCATCAGGGACACTGGTTGGTCTAGATTTTGCACCCTAAATCCTAAGCCCTCAAGCCCTGAACCCTACACCCAACATCCTTCATGGAATCTTTCCATGGAGGAAGGTGCAGGTAGATTGGGTCGGGCTTGAGGAAGTTCGGTTCAGTGCCCCCTGAGGTCTTGGGATTTAGGTTTCGCGAACTTCAAGCTGTGTAGGCCCATCAAACTGAAACTTCAAAGCACCCCGATGGAGAGACCGTACCCCCCCGACCCTCGAACACTTTGCGCAGGGGCCTCAAGAACGGTGCTATGGGTCTAAGCCTTGTAGACTCAGCCTGGGAAGTTCTCTAGTAAATTAAGGCCCCTAGAATCCTAGAAACCAACCCGCAATGCAGCGATTGGCCCCTCATCAACTCTAGGAACCCACTGGCTTGTCTGTTCAGAGACATTCTCGCAAGACACAGCCTCTCCTTGTTGTCTAGTGAAGTTTCAAAACCCCAAAGGGTAGAAATGTTGCCCCAATTTGTGGTGGCCTTGAGAGCTGTCTTTTGGGCCAAAGATCTGCCACAGAGGAACATTCCCCACATCAGCAAATACCACGCCCCTGGCACACGTACACCAGTCGCTAGTCCCTTTTGGCAACGGTTCGCTTACGGGGGTTGCTGCCTGCAAAACCACCTCTTCACCCCGAATCAAATCGTGCCATAAAGCTTAAACCCGCTGCACGAAAGCGCCTAGAGCCCTGAATCCAGAGCACCAAATCCGTTTGAGGAACGTCATTGGGACGCCTTTCTTCCTGAAGACCTACAGCCCAGAGAAGCTTCATTCTTTGGAGCACCCCGGATTATCATGGCTTTAGGTTCACGGTGCAGCCTAGCCGTCTGAGGCCCGGCCCCTGGCACTGTAGAGGACCTATAGATTCCCCCAGCAGGACGGTTGCTGAATGGGCTGAAAAAGCTGGAAAGATTAGGGTCATTCGGAAATTCCCTCGAAAATCCCGGGCCTCAAGGAACCCCTAAGTTTGAGCAGCTTAAACCGAGATGGTACCGCAAAGAACCCAAAGAGTTGAACCACAAAGATACCCAAAACCCTATCCACTAGACCATCAGTTCTAAACCCTGTTTACCTAAAGCCATCAGACCTTAAGCAACCGATTATGTAAAGCTCTTACCAACCCCCGTCGTACTGCATATATGGTTGCATATTTGACGTACCGCAAACCCACTCTAATCTGTGAAGGCCCCTATACCAAAACCTGAAAAGCCCTTACAACCTTCATACAGCCCTACAAAACCGCATGAAAAACCGATAGATGCATAGTGTAAACCTTGCAAAAAGCCTATAAAGACATATCAAACATCCAAGCCATCGGAGGATCCTATCGGCTAATGTGGACTGGAACATCTTCCCTGTGCTCGGTTGCCGCGCACCGGTGCGGCAGCCCCGGTGCTTCATCCTACTGAGGCAGCTGAGGGCAGAAAAGGGCTTTGAAGCTGAAAGATGGTTATAAAGCTAAAGGGCTTCCAGAAGGGTTCGAGGAGGGGTTTGTTGTGCAATAATCAATGGCTGTGATGGTTTTCTAAGGATTTTCGAGGTTTCAAGGCGAGGCTCAACGGATTTTTGTTAGTTTCTTTGATCGTGTTCTCATAGAGCGTGGTAAAGAAGTAGCAAAGACAAGTGATGATGCTCATAGAGTTTAGAGGCATTGGCCGCATCTCCGGGTTTGGAAAGATGATTGGAGTCGGGGGGTTCGGGCTGAAGCTCTTGACTGCTGGGATTCAGATCAGACTTTGGCGGTTTTGGGTTTTGGCGGTTGATGTGTTTGGAGACGCGGACGTGAGGACTAGAAAGCGCGAATCCTGAGATCCGCACTGGCTCCGAAATCCACACCCTCAGGAGATAGGTTCTGGTTGACGCTGCGGCTCCAAAAAATGTTTCGAACTAGCTGCGCATGGTCTCACTTTCATACCTGGTCTCCAAGCGACTTCTATCGTGTCCTTTGCTCCATGTCCGCAAACTAGACCAAAAACGAAGATTCTAGTCTTCCTACATACACTAGCAGGATTCGACGGATTGGATCCTGGAGTTTTGGCTGCGTCTTGAGGAGGCTTTTGAGCTTCTACTTCTGTCGGCACCGCACCGCTGTTCGCCCCTGAAGCCAAGACGGGATCCAACCTGCGAGGAATCCCATCGATCGGTTCATCTCCTACTATCTGGAGAGGCCCTGGTTCAAGACCGGTTTAGGGTTGTGGGTCTAGGGTTTAGGGTTTGGGGGGATTTCGGAAAGCTCTAGACGCCGTAGGCGGGAAGTTCAGCTCGCGCTCCAAGGACTTGTAGAGGCATACGAGGTCACGAGGCAAGGCAGGCCTATAGATCGACAATTCCAGATCCCCAGGCCTGAAACCAAAACTCGCTCGGAAAAGGCTAGCGGCTAGCTCTGGGGCTTAGAGGCTTCGAGTCTTTTTCTCGAAGACTGCAAGCACTATAACCGCTACTTGTGTCGAATTCACGGATCCATTACTTCCGGGACGAAGGGTCACCCACAGGTCATGTCAAGGTGCTGCTGCAGCAGACCGAGCACTGGATACGGCTACCCTGTTTTTTTGGGCTCCTTACACAATAAGGATCCTACTAAAGCGCAGGGCTTCTATGGATTAGGGGTCCTTTGTTTCCTGACTTACGTTGGGGCCCCTACTGTTTGCGGACCATATTTAGGGCCTTTTTTTATGAGGCTTGCCAGTATCGTAGCGCCGTAGAGTAGGATCACCCGATCTTCCTCTCGAGCTCGAGCTACAGGAGCATCTGCAAGAAGTTGGCCAGATCCCACAAACTTCTTGACTTACCTGGCCAATGGGAGAAGCCCAAACATCTCTCTCTCTCTCTCTCTCCCTCTATCCGTCCATCCATCCAGCCATCCCGTCTCTATAGAATAGGTGGAACTTTTGACTTGTTTTGGGGGCTTGGCTTATCAAGGAAGAGGGATGAAATCTGAGCAAGAAGGCCTCAAGCCTAAAATCCTAGAGACCTTCTTAAGGCTGAGCCATCCACCCTCTAACCCCCCTACACCCGACTTTTCCAAAAAGAGCTGCAGAGGTCCGACCGACTGCTGGAAGGAGGTAACTCAGCTCCAAGATGTTCGGGGTCAGGGTTGGTTTAGGGTTTTAGGGTTTAGGGTTTAAATGGCTACGGCTCAAGCCATTTTGCTACGAGGCCCAAACGGGTATGTGCATGCCATTGTAATTCCCTTGTGCTCAGAGGAACATGAATGCCGAGACCAGCAAACTCATTTCTTGCTTGGGATTCTCGGTACGCTTGGCAGGGAGGCTCAATGTGAAGGACAACGTGTCCTACCACTTGAAAGCTGCTCTGCACTTGCTCGTTGATGGTCGTGATTCTAGATTGGCAGGCCGAACGAAGATTTCACTCTTGAAGGGCTTGCAACTTGACGAGGTGCTTAAGGTTGAGTTCAGTCCTGAAGGCAAAACCGGAGAGCCGACCCTCATGCCGCCGAGCCCTTCGAAAAGTCTTTGGACTGAGCAACAGCTGTATGACCACGTGAGCATGCTAGCATCGAAGTATGCAGAAGCTGAAAATGTGCTGGTTAGAAATCAAGAAGTGGTGGCTGAACACAGTTCGATCATGACTGGCTTGGAAGAACAGATGCAAGAACTCCACTCGAAGCTCATGAATATGGCCAGCTCTTCACAGGCTTCCGCAGCAGCGACCCTTGATACAGGCAGTGTGGAAACCAAGATTGCCAAGCAGGATTCAGCAATGGTGGACGTCGATGATGGCAAAGAGAGCAGCAATCCATGCCGATCACCACTGTTTTTGGCGTCACAGTCTGTCAGAACAGATGTCAACACAAGAACAGAACGCCCTCCCGGAATGAAAGATCTCATGGAGCAGCATTTGGTTCGGCGTATGGCATTAAAGCAGAAGAGACGTGAAGAACGGTCCTGTCGTCTTGATGGTTCAACTGAGTGACAACACGTTTTTGCGGACCTATCAGTCCAACCTCGAGTAGTCCCAGATCAGCCGTTGCAAACACTGCGGTATCTGAAGGATCAGGGCAAAGTGTGCTGCAGCCCCTGCTCAAAAAAGGGTTTAGGGTTTAGGGTTTAGGGGGTTTAGGGTTTAGCGTTTTTTTGCAGCAGAAAGAACAGCGTGCTGCGCTTCATCATACTTGAATGATCACAGGAATCCTGGGAATATTGTTGGGAAAATATCGTGCTCATGTATCAAGGATGCTTGAGGCTTTTGGTCTAGGGTTCTTACTGGTAACTACCACCTGCTTCAAACGACCAGGCAGCTCACAATCTCGGGTTTGAGCTTTAACTTTTATACCATGTAACCTAACTTCAGCCATAAGGCATGGCCATAAGCCCGGGATCCAAGCGCGCTGATTTCACAATCCTGGATATGTAGACCCCCCCCTAGTATGCAAAGCCCAAAGCCCATATTGAACGAATTTATATTCACATCTTGTTACGAGCGTTGCTAAGACAGATTGCCGGCATCCTCGTGACTCCGATAACTCCCAGTAGGTATGTAAGATACGGCAAAGTAGCCGTACCTACCGTCATTACCATTCTTGCTATCTTCATTGTTATTAGTATCAGTGTTACTACTACTACTACTATTATGATTATGATTATTGTTATTATTATTATTGTTACTACTATTACTACTACTATTATTATTAGTTGTTATGATTGCAGTGATGAAATGCACCGCCCGGAACCTGGGGTTTTCTCCTTCTGAGCCTGAGCTGTAGACTCCAGCCGTCCGGAGGTAGCTCGATTCTGCGGTTCCTGTCCCAAGTTCCCTTGCAGGACCGACTATACTGTTTTGGGGGCTGCTTCTGATAATCATAGCAAAATATACCCCCACACTGTTTTGGGGGCTCCTTATGATAATTATAGTACAAAATACCCCAAAACCCTATTCTGTGTGTTGAAACTTCTTGGCTCGGAGCTTCAGAGCTCAGCGGACGGGTTTGGGGTTGCAGGGTGTGGGGCTCAAGAGCCAAAAGCTTAGAGCTTAGAGCTTAGGTGAGGTATGCTCTGGGCTCCAGCAGCCTCAGTAGGCCAAGGGCCCGCGGCGTACAGGCGAGACATTCGCGCTCTCTCTGTCTCGCTTTATCTCTCTTTGTCTCTCTCTCTCTCTCTCTCTCACTCTCTCTCTCTCTCTGTGTCTCTCTCGCTCCCTGTCTCTGTCTGTCTATGTATATATACATGTGTACATGTGTGTATATATATATACACATTTCTTTATATATACATATATATATATATGTATATATATGTATATATATTTAGAGAGTGTAACGCAATGCGGGCCCGTGTTTTTCGAGTCAAACACGTGTTTCTTAGATGTTATAAGCTCTGTCCAAGATAAGGACATATGATCTCAAGAAACTGAAACTAGATGGTATTGTTTCTCAAGAACGAAAAATGGGTTTTGGATCGGTATGCACCATCCATCAAACCATTGCAGGTTTT